AAAAATATTTTTTTCATAAAGAAGAGAAGAGCAAACATGAAAAAGGACTCCTGGATCTCAGACATTCTTAGGCACATTAGTTTTGGGAAAGAGTATATCTACAAAGTGACTGCCTCGACCACGAATCTCGTAAGAAGCCTTCATATGTTCTTTTTTTTAAGTAATTTTTAAAAAGATTTATTTATGTATTCTAGAGAGAGAGAGAGAGGTGGGGATGGGCAGAGGGAGAGGAGGGAGAGTTCTAAGCAGACGCATTGGTGAGCACAGAGCCAGATGTGGGGCTTGATCTCATGACCCTGAAATCATGACCTGAGCCAAAACTAAGAGTTGGATGCTTAACCAAACTGCACCACCCAGGTGCCCCGGATATGTTCCCTTTTAAAAATTGTGGTAAAATATATGTAATAAAAAATTTACCATTTTAACCATTTTTAAGTATACAATCAATGGCATTAAATAGATTTACATTGTGGTACAACCATCTCTATTACTCCTCTCCAGAACTTTTTTCACCTTCCTAAACTCTAATTTTGTACCTGTTAAACAACTCCCCATTTCCTCCCTCCCTCCAGCCCCTGGTGACCACCATTTTACTTTTTGTCTCTATGAATGTGACTATTCTAGCTACTTCATATAAGTGGAATCATACAGTACTTGCCTTTTATGTCACTTAGCATAATGTTATCAAGGTTTATCCATGCTGTAGCCTGTGTTAGAATTTCACTTCTTCTTAAAGCAAAATCACATTCCATTATACATAAATATCACATTCATTTATCCATTCATCTGTCAATGGACATTTAGGTTGTTTCCACTTTTTGGCAATTGTGAATCATGCTGCTCTGAACATGGATGTACGAATTTCTGTTTGAGTACCTGCTTTTAATTCTTTTGAGTGTCTACCTAGGAGTGGAATGGCTGGATTACATGGTGATTCTATGTTCATGTATCCATTTTGAAAATACTGGTATAGGAGAACAGGAATAGAAATGGAAGAAAAAAACCACAGCATAGTTTCAGGGAAGCAGTAGGGCCCAGTTAAGATGAGCAATCCTAAATTTAAAGTGAAACCAGCAGGCATGTTTGTGTTATTTTACTCTAGTCACACTCAGTTGCACAGGTGCGGAGCTAGGGTGGAGGGAGTGTTGGCTATGACTATGATTTTGGCTAAGCAGGCCAGCATGCGATGAAAATGCAAGGGAGTTGAAGATCTGCACATAATTCTTAGTGATTATAGTTATTGGCCATGAAATATATGCTGGGTAAGGACTTCAAGCAAGTTTTATAATCTTTTCCATACCAACCTGGGGAGTCCTTTGTTAGGTTAATTTCTAGGTTCTTTATAAAAGAAAATCCTTTAAAAGATGTTTCCCAACTGTTTGTTGCTTGAGTATACAAATAGAATTTTGGTTTTAATATATTAATCATATAATCAAACTAGCCTGAAAACCTCTCTTATTATGTACGTAGGTTCCTTGGGGTTCTCTCCAAAGTGGTCATACCCTCCATAAATATTATCAATCATGTTTCCTGCTTTTCAACCATTATGCTTTTCTTTCTTTTTTGTATCTTGCTGTGTTGACTAGTAACTGCAGTATAATGTTAAATACAGAAGTGGTAATAGATGAGTACTATTATCTTTGGACTGATTTTAAATGGAATGCTTCTAACATTTCATTAATAAAAATGTTTACTCTGGGTTTTTGGTCAATATCTTTATCAAATAAAGGAATTTCCTAAGAGTTGGCTAAGAGTTCTTAATCATGATTAAATGTCGAAGCTTTTCAAATACCTTTTCTCCATCTGCTGAGATGATCCCATGGTTTTTTGCTAACATTCAGTTAATGGGTTATACTTATGTATTTCTTTATATTAAATGACTAGACCATTCCTTGGATTCCTAACTTGGTGATAATATATTTTTTATGTGATTACAGTCTGAATATTCATGACCTAAGGAGCTAGGACTTATTACACCCATTTTGCAGACAATAAACGAGACTTAGAGAAATACGTAATATGCGTAAGACTTATACTCAGGAGGTGGCAGAACAGTAATTCAAACCCAGGTCTCGAGAATTTGTGCTGAATGAATATTGAATAGAAGCTTCAGGACCTTATAGACTCTTTAAACATTCCTTAGTTGGAAAAAAAAATAATGCTTTCCCATCAAATTAGTTCACCTTAGGTATTGGTCACGAAATGATGTTAAATATAATTAGAGGAAAAGATGTGTATAAAAAGTGGGCCTAAAAGATAATCCTAGTAGTTCTTCATTATTAAAGTTCTTTAAATACTTTATCACATTGGGATTTATTTAAAAAGGACCAACAGGGGACAGAAAATAATGAAATCAAGATAAAATCTCTTAACATGTAGAGTCTCTCTTGGTCAATGTTTCTACTAGTATTGCATACTCAGGACCAAAGAGAAATTGAAACCATCAACATTCAAGCCTTTGTTAGAGCTTCCTCATTTCTTTAGTGAAAAAAAGTGGTATTTCCTGGGCAGAAATGTTATGAGGAGATGGGGAACGAGCCTCTCCAATTAGAAAAGGAAGAGTAGCATGTGAAGGCCTATGTGAGAGCAGTGACAGGCAGAAAAACTAGGTCATAAAGGCTCTGAAAGTGGATCCCCCATCCTGCAAGACCCTAGCATGGGCCTCTAGGGCATAAACAAAGGCAGGAGACTCTCTACATAAAACTTTTGCCAAAATAGAATGAAGGAGTCAACAGTTGTAGGCAAAAAAATATTTCATTGCTTGTCGAAAAACAGGCAGGAAAAACTACACTGTCACCTCTTCTGGGAAAAGCAAAAATAAAGTTGTATTTCAACCTTAATTTTCCACCTTGTGGGCAAAAATAAAAGGAAAATTACTTCTGGGCAATACTGCACATATTATAGAATAATGAGCCGTCTTAGGCAGTTGAGAAAGCAGCAAAGCAACCAATGTGCTTCTCTCTAGAAAAGAATAACGCAGTAAGTTTCTTTAAAGGAAATCCTAAAGAAATGCTATATCAAAAAGGAGACACAATAAGATACACCAAGGGCCATCTAAGAATGCCACATCTATCTATATTAAAGAGACAGTGTGGCACTTGGAAATAAACTGGAACTTCAGCATTTGGGAGGCTGATCTGATTCATGTGTGGCTCCTTCACCACTTCATGGCCCTCTCAACTTGATGTCATTTCACATCAGTTTCCTTTCTCCCTCCCTTTCTTCTTCTTTTTATGTTTTGGATATTGATGCACTGAACAAAACAACAGATTCTTCTGTAAAGCCAGCTATTAAGATGGTCCCAAGCACTACCAGCTTGCAAGACTGGCTTCTAATTGCACAGATATGGTCCCTCTATGTCTCTATGTTGGAAGAATTCTAAGATGGCCCTCAAGGTTCCTGTCCCTTGGTGTATATGTCCTGTATAATCCCCCTTACCACCTGAGTGTGAGAGGAACCTGTAAATATAATGGCATTTATACATCACATTATGTTATAATTACATTATGTTATATGGCAGAGGGATTTGTAGATGTAATTGAGACCCCTAATTAGTTGACTTTGAGTTAATCAAAAGAGAGATTATCCTAGGTGGGCCTGACTTAATCAGCAGAGCCCTTGAAAGAGATCAGAGAGATATGAAGTCAGAGAGATTTCTCCTGCTGACCCTGAAGAAGCAAACAACCCTGCTGCGAACCGCTTCTAGAAGACGCTATGTGGCAAAGAACCTAAGTGTGACTGCTAGGAACTGAGAGTTGTCCCTGACCAATAGCTGGCAAGAAGCTAGGGACTTTATTCCAATAACCACAAGGAACTGAATTCACCCAACAACCAGTGAGACTGTAAGAGGTACCTAAGCCTCGGATGGCATTGAGCCCCTGCGGACACCTCGATTTCAGCCTGATGAGACCCTGAGCATAACACCCAGCTAACCCATATCCAGACTCCTGATCCACGGAAAGTACCAGATAAAAAATAGATTGTTTTAAGCCAATAAGTTTACAGTAATTTTTCATGCAGCAATAGAAAACTAATAAATGTACCCTTGAACCTTAAAGTTTGATGACAGTATCTTTAATCTGGGGTTTTGAGGTATGGTAAGGATTTATTAGGTAATGGGAGAAGAAAAGCTGATGAGCTCCTCCATAATCTGGAAAAAGGTAGCTCTATTGTTTTGTTTTGTTTTTAAAACATTTATTTACTTATTTTGGGGGGGGGATGGGGCAGAGGGAGAGGGAGGGAGGGAATCTTAAGCAGACTCCCTGCTAAGCACAGAACCTGACTCAGGGCTCAATCTCACGACCCTGAGATCATGACCTGAACTGAAATCAAGAGTTGGTCACTTAACTGACTGAGCCACCCAGGCAGCCTGCTCTATTGTTTTAACTGAGGGGATGTGATAGTCATTCATGCTGGTCACCAAGCACTTCCAGCTCTCCCTTACTCCAGACCTATAATAGCTCTGTACTGTCTGTTCTCTCTGGTACAATCCTTGTTGGATGGACTATGAGCATGTTGGTCAGTGTGTATCACTTCTGGGCTAGGGCACTTGACCTATGCAGGACTCCCCAGAGCTCTCTTTTCCACTGCCCCAGGGCACAGCAATGCTCCTGATAGCCTGGGTCCTAAAGTGAGGTTATGTGGGGCACAGCCTATCCTGCTGACCAATACTCTCACCTCTAGAATGAAAAATAAATCTTTGTTATTTTAAGACACCTCAACTTCACAATTGTGCATTACTGCAGTGTAATGTAGCCTGTGCTAACTAAATGTGGGAGTTACTGAACTACACACCCAAAAGGAACAGCCAGAGACCCAGACATGAGAAGGTCAGAGATAGAAGGACACACAATATCTTAAAATGTGTTCATATACCTAAATTATTTCCACTGGTCATTGTGAAACAAACGAACAAAAAACCCAAACCAAAACAGAACAGCTTCAGTTATGTTAACCTTAAAGATAAATCTCAGTTATTTTGCCAGCAAAAATGGGTTTATTTGGGAAGAGCCAAGAATTGTCATTTGGGACATGCAAGTCGTGTCAAAACCACAGGCAACTCAAGGGAACAAAAGAGAGGAACACTCTTTTACAGAGGAAAGGGAGGAGCTGGGAGGGGGTCTTATAAACAAAAAGTCCATTGGAGTAAACTAGGAGTTTGAAGTGCAGTGGCTTTTCACGGGCAGAGCTGTGGCAGTTTCTCATTGCCTGGGCTGTTGCCGGGCAAGGAGAAAATCTTCTGCCGGCTAGTAAAGCAGTATTCATTTGGTCTGGGAAGGTTCTGCTCTTCCTGTTGGTTCTGCATTTGATAAGGAGTGGTAGGGCACGAGAGCTCCCCCTTCTGGCCTCCTGGCTCCATTTTAATGAGGCTTCCCTTCCATAAGTGCAAACAGAAGAAAAAACAAGAGAACACCAATCATTACTCATCTCTGCTGATCCTCACCCAGGATCTGTTAACATCTGCGAAGATCAGAACCAATGGAGTAGCTGGCTCTTCACTCCAGGGAGAAAAGTTGGGGGAGCTCTTCCTGGACAGCTCTTCTTAGTACAAATGTCATCATCAGTCTTTGGGAATTCCGTGTTCCCTTAATTTTGAGAACGTAGGGGGCAGAGCCTTCATATCTTGCTATGCAAGACTGTCAAAGATAATTTAGATGGAGTGTCTGTCCAGAAGAAACAAACAAACAAACAACACAAACCAAGATCTGATTAAAAAAAAAAAAACACTGACATCATAGGAGAAAAAAAGAGATGAGCAGTAAAATCCTGTTTTTAAAAGGGTGAGAAACAGCATCAGATTAATAGGAAGATGTGTGTTTAATAATCAGTTTGATCAGTTTTAAGGTCCTTATGAAAACAGTTTGGATGGTTCCTGTGACAAATACTAAACCTAAATCTTAAAGATAGAGATTCTGGTAAAATGTTCTTTGGGAAATTAGAAATTCCATTCTAGCAGATTTGGATTTTGAAGATAAAAATACCACTGGCTCTGTGAGTAGTGGGATACTTAAAGCAGGAATGAATAAATTAAGCTAATCCTATGTATATCTTTGTTAGAGTGACATCAACAATGTATAGCCAAGGAAATGGATTGAGGAGTGAAAGAGATCTCCTGATCCCAACACCCAGAGCCTCTTGACCAATGATTATAGAAGTGACTAGATGATACTTCTCAGATAGTGAAATTTCATCAAAAACATACATCACCAAGAACTACAGTGGACACTATTATTTGTGGAACATTTTTGAATTTGAATATATTAGCTGTTTCTACATAGTAAGAGAAAATGGAATGCTGAGGCAATAATTCGGTAATTTGGGCCATAAGCTTATATTTACAATGAAAACATAAAGTAACTATGACAAAACAGGTTGTTGAATTGAACTGAATCATGTAAGTAAATTGCTTCAATTCCCTATCCCACCTTTTTTCATATACACGTAGTCCTAGCCTTTGGGAGAGATATGGATATTGTGGGTACCTGACTGTTGGACTTATATGCCATGGGACACATTCCTAGTGGCAGTCCAAAAGCTATTCTAGCTGCAAAATACTTGCTGCTAGTCATATGCTCTTCTCACTCCAAAGCTAGCTGATATTACCAGCATATGGCTTCCATAGGCAAGCTGGTTGCTATATTTTTCGGGTTCTATCTATATTTCCCTGGACCTGTGCAATGAAGTCATCTGGATGAGGAGAACAAAATGCAGCACTCTTTAAAGAAATGTCATTCTGCTCTCACACATTCTCCTCTCACAAAAGAGAGAGGCAACAATTTATGGTACATTTAAATATAAATCAATACATCAGATTTAACAAACGAATGATCTTATCGCCAAAGTGATGTGAAAATAGGCACGTGATGACTTTTCATGTTCTACCCAAAATTGTAAAAAGTTGGCACAAAAGAGGTAGTTTGGGTCCTTCAAAACAATCACTTCCTTCTAGAACCAGAATCCTCCCCTGGTTTCTCAGCTTTTCTTCTAAATAGAAATGCTGACGCTTTATTAGTTAATCAATAAGACATGATACAGAGTATGGTTATCATAAAATAATCATACCCTGGAGCATTTTGAGGCATGAGCCACTTGCCTCTAATCAGATTGGGTTGAGATTACCTCTGGATAACCACACTCTTGGGAACTGTCTCATTTCTATTATAAGTACATTTTATAATAGGGAAAAATGTACATTTCTGTGGGGGGAAAATGAAGTTGGCAGCTTCTACCTAGCAATCATTTCAGTCGAGCCGAGAAACATTCCTCTTTTGAACCAAGTCAAACTATGCATGGTCTATTCAAGTAATGTCAGAGAAAAGAGGCAGCTTACATGCAGTGTGGGTAATGCAATACAATGGAAACTGTATTTTACTTTGGCATTGCAAGCTTCAAATTATATGCAAACATTAAAAAGGGCATTTGAAACTTGGCATGCATGTTTATAAATGGCACATTTTGAATCTGGAGTGGGTTTAGGTGTCTAGGTTACAATAACAGATGATCTCCAATGTAAAAATGGAACAAAGCCTTTCTTTAACTTCCTACAGAGAAAGATGTTCATTTCTGCTTCAATTATAATCCCAGGCACACTGCAGATTCCGTTAAGAGCAATTTCCCTCTATTTCTTCTTATCCCGACCAGCCAAAAATTTTAATCAAATTACATATATTGTAAAGTTAAAGACAGAAAAACCCAGTGAGCCATGAAATACACTTTACAACAGTGTGTATAGCAGTTACCCTATTGGTTTAGAATGATGGAAAAATCCATTTAAAATGTTAGATGAACACCGTGGACTGCAGAGATGATTATAAACTCTTAGAGCTGTAGGTTTTAATCCTATTTTGCTATGAATAGTATTTATAACCAGGAATTTTTAACATGGAACAAATGATAAAGAAAAAAAAAGATGAAAACACTTATGTGAATTGCTTGGGGATGGAAGTAAGGATTTGTAACAATAATGACAGTGAGATACAAGAAAGTCCAACATTATTGCCATATTGATACAATCAAATGTTGGTCTTTGTTAGCTACACACCTCTCATAATAAAAACAAAATTTTTTCAGGTTGATCTTTTGAATGAAAGGAGACAGAATGGAACACAATCCTGAGATGCCATGAAGAGAAACTGCCTCATTTATGGATTTCCTACACTGGAATTAAATTTAGCTTTTATATGGCAACACTGCATTTGATTAATGAGACACCTCTTCAATACCGGTTATTTCAAGAGGCTCAGAATATCTGTCTTGGTCCAAAAATTGCTTAACGCTTCCTATTATTTCATTTCCTTAGAATTCTACTTGATTTCTGCAGAACAGCTAGGGCAACTGGGCTCCTGACTTGAAAGAAATGAGGCCTGGCCAAAAGGAAACCAAGCAAGGGATTTTTACTCATCATTAAAAATTCAAGTCATGAACTAGATGGAAAAGTCTATTTTTAATTATTCAGAGAGCAGAAAGGCTCCCTACCTCCAATTCCCCAAGTTGGTAGATTACTCATGTTTTCTCCTAAAAGTCTCATTTGTCTTGCCCAGGAGAGCCCCCAAACAGCCTAAAGGCAAACTGTGGTGTTACCTCACAGTGCCGAATGAAAGTCAACAGAGGGCAGTGTAGGAAGAGCTAGAGTAAACAGGCCCTGGTGGAAGCTCATTCTCTTGCAGAAGCAGTGACTCCTGACCCAGCCCAGCCCCTGACGGATGTGGGAGTTCTCAGAGGCCTTGACCCAACACTCCTCTTCTGCTACTTTACCAGCCCCTGCTTCACTAATTCCCTGCAGCCTCGATTCTGCCACCACCACAGCACCACACCAGTTTTCTCTAAGGTCACTGCACGGTCAAATGGATGGCTTTGCCAGTGTTCCCCTCCAGGGCTGTGACCTTCAACTCTATTAATCCCCTAGCTCTTGAAATTCCCTCCTGCTTATGTGAGAGTTCACTATGAGTTCCTTTCCTCTATTTTGCTCATGTTTCTCTTCTTCTCTAGGTCCATTTCCTTTCCTAAATAGTAAACATCTTCCCAAAACCTAGAGCATCTTTGTCCCTTTGCTTTCCTCTCTGGATAATAAACCTCCTCTCCTAGTACCAACTGTGTCCAACCCACAAGTCCATATGACCTTTCACCCATCACTGGCTTCTTGTCTCCCACTAATATTCAAATGTGACAAGGATGGAGCTGACTTACTGTGATCTGTAGGATTCCAGAGTGGCTCCCTGTGATTCCTACCCCGTGGTATCCACACCTTTGGGTTATCTTCTCCCATTCAATGTGAGTAAAGCCTGTGATTTGCTTCTAGCCAGTGGAATATGGCAAGGATGAAGAAATTGAGCAGATGTAATTAAGATCCCTAATCAGATGACTTTGGGTTAATCAAAAGGGAAATTATCCTAAGTGGGCCTGACCTAATCAGGTGAGACCTTTAAAACAGGGTGTATCCCTTCCATGAAAGAAGAGAATTGAAGAAAGACATTCTTCTATTGACCTTGAAAAAAACAAATGATCATGTTGTGAACTACTTAGGAAGAGGACAGCCTCTAGTTGCTGAGTGGTCCTACATTCACAAGGAATTGAATTCAACCGACAATTTGAATGAGGTTGGAAGAAGACCCAAACTCCAGAGGAGAATATCAGCTTTGGCTGACTCTTTCATTGCAGCCTGTGAGATCCTAAGCAAAGGACCTAGTTAAACTGTGCCCAGATTCCCCACCCAATAGGTGTATTGTGCATTATTTTAATCCAAGGTTATTCATTCTGCAGCAACAGAAAACTCATAGACTTATCGTTCTAACTTATTAATGCCCTCTCAGGCTCAAAGCTTTAAAGTTATGTCACTCTTCTCCTTCACCAGATACCAAGACTTGTCATTTATTCTTGACCAATTGAATTAAACTACCTTCCTCTATTTTATTCAAGCTCCTCATTTATTCAGCAAATATCTGCTGGACACCGTCGTGTCTACCTCTGGATATGCAGTGATGAGTAAGACAAGCATGGTTCCTGCCCCTATGCAAAGTAATGTTTAGTGGATAAAGTGAACACTGAATGTGTAATTGCAAGATGCTTTGAGAGACTTCTGCAGGGGACTCTAACCTAGTCTGGTTGAGGGAGGAAGCAGGGAAGGCCTTACCACCTCAAGTCTGATTACTGTGTCAGCTTTTAGTCTGTCTCTCTGCTTCTCACTCTTCAGGCAGTACCCCCAGTGTTACTGGCTTCACCTTTCTTCAAGATACTTTAAACCAAATGGACTCTGTTGGAGGACTTTCAACGGCTCCCTATTACCTTAAAAATAGAATAAGCAAAATATTAAGGTTGTAGCAAATGGCAATTATCCCTTATCTAACAAGAACCCAGACAGGTTTAAAGACTTGGCCGAAGTCACAGAAGCTGTAGAAACAGGACTGAATTCCCTGAGAGCTAACCCTGAATGAAATTTTCTTTTTACACTGTTATTACTCCTTTCATATTTTAAAAATCATCCAGTCGTGAGTATGGAGCTTACAATGTTATAATCAGGTATAGTCCCTAAAGGCAAAGCACATTACCCATTTGTGGTCTACAAGCTTGAAGCTAATCTAAGATCGATATTTGGTGAGTATGGCTGGCCTCACAAGCCTGAGGCTATAAAATGAGGGTCGCTTCCCATTTATACCTACATTACAAT